TTGAAGTGTGGGGACTTGAACTTCTAAGAGTTGATATACCTTCATTTTCAAACCACATAATCGTGTTGACAGCCTATATAATTTTGTTAAATATCAAAGAATTTCGATAAACTTATTGACAATTTTCTTACTTAGCCCATTTTTTAGATGCATAACATCATGTTTTTTTCTCCTACATCAACGAACATTTAATCAATCCATAAACATAAACATTGTAAGAGAGATTTAACAAAATAAAAAACTTCTAAAATATTATTATAAAAAGATCACTAAATCGAGTCAAGCAAGCTTCATGTATCCAACACTCATATGAAATGACAATCACATTGAATTATTATTTTAATTAAGGTAATAAATATTATATAGTTATTTTATTGTAACGATGAGATGTTGTGGTGTTGAAGTTGCACGTGCTGAGTAGAGAAATGGTGTATATGGGAATGAGTTTATTGAAGTATTTGCCAGTCTATGCTGTGGATGCTCTTCTTACGATGCTCTCTAAGCTCAAATTTGGCGACATGTCGGCTCACGGGATATGTCGGCCGAAGATGGGCCCTTTTCAACTCAAATCCGCCATCGGGAAGACGCCGGTTATCGACGTCGGAACTCTATCCAAGATTCGGGCTGGTGAAATTAAGGTAATCGGTAATCGCTGAATTTACTGTGTGTTTGTATATTTTCGAAAAAAATCAATGATTATAAATTTTGATATAGTTGGATTGAGTTCAAATAAATGAGAACGTCACAGGCTAGATTAATTTAATTGGCACTTAAATTAGTTTGGTGTAAACTTATTATTTTTTTTTTAAATTAGATTTTTCTTTTTTAGTTTTATTTCATTACATAACTCTTTTTAGATTATTTACTGTCCACAAGCTTTAAAAAAAAAACTTTATTGTCATTAAAATGTGATTTTTCAAAAAATAATGGAAACACCTCGCTGGATAACTATTTTGTTCTTACTTTTTAAAAAATGAAGCTCTTTACTTCCACATATGTATTCCTTTATCTTATTTCAACCTTTTTGAAAATATTTTTAAAATTTAAGCTAACTTTTTTGGAAGAAAAAAGTAGGTTCTAAAAGTTGGGTTCTTTTTTTTTTTTTTTCTAAATAATATTTTGGTAACAATTTAGATGTGTCCTGAAAAAATAAGAAAAACATACCCAAAAATTTGTGAGAAAACAAGCACAATTTTTTAAAACAGAAAACTTATAAACGAGATCCTTATGAAACCGTACCGGAACGTCTTATAGATTTAACTTTTAACACTTTTACCTTTTTTTTAAATAGAAAATTTTTGAATAAGTGACCATAATTATTCGAACCAAACTCAAGCCAACCCACATAATCTTAGATTGAGATGAGTTGAGTTTATTTTTTAAGAGTTACTTGAGTAGAAGAAATTTACTACTAAATAATTAATTAGGGTCTAAAACATACCTCATGAACCTAATTAATGATCACCCCTAACTTCATTTTTTTATACAACATGTAGGGTGGAGGATCGAACCCACAACATCTTGGTTAGATATATATGGTCAATTAGTGTTGAGCTATGTTTGTTTTGGCCCCTAATTTCATTTTAATTTTATAATGTTTTATTTTCAAAATTATAAATAAATTTTTAATGTAGAACACTTATTTTACATAATATTTTTTTAGAAAATAAAGCCAGCATTTTATTGATGTTGGATGTCTTATTTCTTGACGGTGAATGAAACTTAAAAGTTTATAATCCAAATTTAAAGAAGATTTCTAAAAACTTTCAGTCATTTTTAGATGTTTCTAAAACAACTTGAATTTTTTGATGACTTTAGATCATATTTATAGAGATCTCGATATATAGTATTGTCAAAATTTTAAATGTCGATGTCTCAATTTTGTGGAAATTAAATATCCATAAAATGTCAATAAATATATATGAAAAGGTTATAAAAAGAAAAAATTCATAACCAATAAACATTTCACATTTTTTTAAAAATTATAGAATATTGATGTCGAATATGTAAAAATATTGATGGAAATTTCTATACAAAATTTAATACGAGTTTGTTGCTTGGTGGGTAGGTTCTTCCACAAATATCAAACATAAATGGAGGAACCATTGAGTTTGAAAATGGAGTAATCAAGAGATTTGATGCCATTGTCTTTGCTACTGGCTACAAAAGCTCTGCTAACAAGTGGCTTCAGGTATATATTATTACCATAATTATTAAAGTTTCTATCATAATAATTTTGAAATTACTTTTTAAATTTTTGTAAGATTCTATATCCTTTATTTTAAAAAGTAGATTAAGCAAAAAAAAAAAAATGCTAGTAAAAGAAATATGAACTTTCAAAACAAAAAATGAAGTAAAAAAATTCTTATTAAGAGAAAGCGGAAATAATGAGTTATACTAAACTAATTATATATAGTTTTATTTTACTGACAAGAATAAATAAGTCACATCGAAAAGTCATGAATAAGACGAGCATGAAGCTCTTTTATATTTTTAAGAACAAGTTTTTGAACGAGTTAAAGATTTAAGACACGAGTAATTTTGTGGATGTAGGATCACCGGTTCGTATTAAACGAATCGGGTATGCCGAAAAATCAAATTCCGAATCATTGGAAGGGAGAAAAGAGGGTTTATTGTGTTGGGCTATCAAGGCAGGGGCTGGCTGGAGTTTCTGCAGATGCAAAGGCAGTAGCAGAAGACATTAGCAACATTTTAAATAAAATATCTGATAACTAATAATATATGGCTTTAAATTTATGTTCTCCAATATGATAAATGTTTAGCCATCCCTTAGAGCAAATAGCTCCTTTTCAAACCTATGTAAAATATTTTGGTTTGGAAACTGGTTTGGCTAGTGCTTAAAAAAGTTCTATATATTTGGAGAAGTTATGTAACCAGCTAGTTTAATATGACTCTTTTTTACTTATGTCCATCTTTTTTTTTTCTCTCTCTCCTTCTTGGTCTTGCTGGAAGAACCCAAAAAATTTAAAATTGGAAAACTAAGGTATAATATTTGGTGTTTGGTGGAAATATCATATCTTATTTTTATGGAAATGTCGGTAAAAATATCAATAAAATATATCGATTTTGACCAAGGTTCATGGTGCGATTTTGTCTGATGACCTCGTAATTAGTAAAATATATCATTATTGATTGGAAAAATAATTATTTGATTATTTTTATTAGTCTGTAATATTTATAATCTATTTTATGAAAATCCAAGGTTATAAATAAAATTTTAATGGCCGTTCTTGCGATGAGCAAAATAGAGAATGGGAGGATTTTTGTTATAATACAAGGATTTAAAGATCATTATTGATTGAAGAAAAATCCGGGAGTAAATCGAATGGGGCCCACACGATAATAAATTTTGAAAATTTGAATATATCATATTTAATAGGTGGAAATCAACTACCGTAACTTTTGAATAAATATTAAATCTAATTATTTAAATAAATCACAAATCTCAATAAATCAAAAAGTATTAATTGAGGGAAATTTTGGGATAAAAAAAATTATATGTCGAAATCCAAATATGAAAATAATAAACACGTAGGTTCATTTATAAAATATAGTTTATATTTTGACATACAGAAGACAATTCCTAGTGAAAAAATTGTTTTCTTCGTAAGACGATTTGCCTGCACACTCTGAGCACGGGGCACATGCGAAGATCACTCCTTTAAACGAATTTTTGAGTTCCAAAATATCATAGATCCAAGAGCTGACTTCATATTGTTGGATTCTAACGTGTGAAAGAAATGAAATTTAAAGAAGTTATTTACATATCCATTGTGAATATATTATTCTTGATTGATTTTGTTTAATTTTGTGTTAAAGTTACACATTTGTAACTTTATGTGTTGAGGTTACATGTGTTAAAAACACATATATGATAAACTTAAGTTATTTTTAAAATGAGAAGTTTTTTACATGTTAGAGTTATATATGTAAAAATGTTCCATATGTGTTTAATTTTGTGAGAGATTGCATGTTTGGACAACTATATATAGTTGTGGTTTTCCTCATTTAACAAACCAAGCTTTATCATTTCAGTTCCTCCTTCTTTCACAAGAATTCTTTCTTCTTTTTAGGTATTATTCTTATTTTTTGTTAAGAGCAAGTATCTAAAAGTTCTGCCAGATCCAAATAGTTCGAGGTTGCTGTTCTATCGGAGTTAGTCGTTGTATCATGTTGAGATGATCGTTGTAGTCTGCTAGCAATTTATGTAGAGCAAATAATTGTCTTTAGACCAGCACTATTGAAGTGTGTCTCAATTATATTTATCAAGTTTGGTTCAAGTTATCAAAATTTGTATTCTTTGTAGCCATTTACATTGTAATCTGTTTACCAGTATTACATAATTTATATATACGGCTTATATTTGAAAGAAGGATAAGGTCAAAATTGGAACGACCAATTTAAGAATTGTTGTGTCGTGGGTGAAACCACTGCCCTGAAAGCAAAATCGGCACGACCGCGGTG